GTTGCGTTACCGCGTCGCAGCTATTCGACATGATCGAAACGATGAAAAAGAAAAGGAAGAAAGAAAAATACTCAAGTTGACGGACAGATAAATAAAACTGGCGAATAAAATAATTCAACAGATTAGTTGTTAGCACGAAGGCTCGTTTTGCAGGACTGATGTACGATTGTTTTTTTTTACCTTTTGCATTTCTTCGTTCCAGACATATCACAGATCACATTGAAAATTTTATAAAAAATGTGTCGGTTTAGTTTGCAAGAGACTCGTATAAGAATTAACTTCTCGACACACTTTCCTATTTATCCTCGCGCCAATTATGCGCGACAAAGACGCGCTGTAATTATTATACTACTCGAGCGTGACACGTACGTCACGCGTAGCGAATCATTTTTTTTTCAAACATCGCTGCTGATCGTGATGCTCTTTTCGAGGAAAATCGTCAATCACGGGATTTTGCGCGGCGCGTCGCAAAAAAGGAAATAAAAACGATTGGTCATAACTCGTCCTCGTATGCGAAGTCTAATAAATATGTACATTCTGATGAGTATGAGTGAAATGTAAAAGCATAGTGTTACTTTTCGATGATTCATGATTAAAAAAACGCTTGATTACTTTAATGAAGCAATAGAAAAGAAACGAAAAAAAAAAAATCTACGATCACAAACGAAAGCGAAGGAAAATCGTGTATAAAAAGTTGAGCGTATTTGAATCGCGAAGCGTTCGTAAAAACAAGCATCACGCGGTCGAGCGTTGGCCTCTCGTGCTCGTTACGCGTGAGGCAACACGCGCGGCCAACGAACGACCAAAAGAAAAGGGTAAAAAGTTCGTAAGCAAACGACGTGAAACACGCGTCGGATCTACTTACATTCTAGACCCCATCCTGGACCCCATGACGTAGAAACTCGTCTAATAGGTGGCTCGAGCCACGAGATGGGCGGCTGCCGTTAAAGCGGAAAAATGTTTTTCCCCTTTGCAAGCGTGCGGCGAGGAGCCCGTCGAAACGCCTCTCTCGGAGGGCACTCTCCTTTGTCCTATATTCTCAGAGCTCGCGAAGCTTCAGACACTCGAAAGTTTGTTGGTGCTTAGTCATAGAGTGCCGGTAGAAGTTTGTACCGAGAACTAAGTAGGAGGTGGACTGATGCAGAGTGGCCGGCCGAATGTGACGAAAAGTTGGGGGAGAGACGCGAGGTCTCGGTGGCCAGCAACCGGGACATTTTTCCACCTCCGTCTCGCTCTCTCTCTCTCTCTCTCTCTCTCTATCTGGATTATTGTAAAAGTTCGGTCAACAGCTTTCTGTTTATCTACGGATAGGAGAGACGTTCTGTAAGACTGATGATTGGACTTCCACGCCGTATCTCTGCGATTCCGATTTATGAGGATATCCGCTTGTTTTCGTTGCGTCCTTCTACAAACGCCACTTCTTCCCGCTGATACGTCGAAGAAAGCAAAAGCAACAGTTCTTTATTTGTTCCGGTCATGACTGTGTACGTACTGCATAGTCTTGCGCTGAAGAATCACCAGAGATAACTAAACGACACCGGTTTAATAGGCCGTGTTCCAGATCCAGCTGATAAACGATCGATACTCTACCGATCGCGTTCCAATAAGCGCGAAGCGTGATCACGCTTGAGCGATACTGATTGCTGACTAAGATTCCCTCGCGATTCCCCGATAGATCGTCACGGAGAAAGCTTTTTACAGAGAGATACGAGACTGTGCGTGCTCCGTTTCAAACAGAGTTCGATATGTAATTTCACTGTACGAAATATATAGACATTTGCGCGGAGACCGATAACCGTGATTCCTCCCTGGCTCGTAAGAAATATCGAGCTTTATTAAGCGATTTCGATCTCAGACAGTAGGAGGGAGGATACTTGATTGGAATCGCGCAAATAGAATGACATCACGCGGTCGCGAAGTTTGACAGAGTTATCGATTCGATTTCGTTTGAATTCACGTGGCTAAAATATCTGTTTATCTGCAAATATTGAATAAGATTACTCGCGATCACACTCTCCTTAAGTGATTTTTTTATTAACATTTTTTTATTAACGTAAGTTAGTGAACAAATTACCTCAAGAGTACTTGAAATTAATTTATCAAAATACGATCATAACTTGATAGTGAGTTTCTAATCTGTCAAGCATATATATTTCAATACTTACAGACATTACATGTAGTTATCCTCATCAGAGAAACGTTCTTAATGGCATGCTTTATTTCAAAGTAAACCGCTCTTTTTATCTTTCGTTAGTTCGTCGATGTATCGTTGTATGGCGCACGCATTCATCTGCATCTTGAAATTCGTTGTTTCTGATCTATCAAAAGATACTTGTCACTGTGATTTATGGTATGAATTATGTTCATTGTGTTGAATGTCAACGGAATTAGTTAATTTTTGATAACATATAATTACCAGCCCGGTGAACTCGTTCGTTTTTCAATGAAAGTGCTGTGCATATAATATCCTAATAATTATACGTTAAATATCTCGTCCACCATGCCTTGACGAAAGGAATTTCGCTTCCAAATCCACTGCATTTATTTAATAAACAAGCTAGTATCCTTCATTTGACAGGACTTCTCTAAACAAAAGTATCAAGAAGCGTTTAACAATGTCAGCCACCGAGACTACGGTCATTTTTGCAAAACTGGAAGCACTGAAAGACATCAAGTATATATACATACATACATACACGCATACACGCATATATGTATATATTACACAAAATCACAATGCATGTGTTTTTATATTATTTTATATTTTCAATAATCAAAAAAAAATCTTATGCAACATCGATATAGCAAATCAGTGTTTGTAAATGAAATGATAATATATTTTGTGTATTTTGTTAGATCAAAAACACTTCAACTGGAGAAAATGAAGCAAAGAATCCTGCAAGAGGTAGAACAAACTGAACAGGAAGAAAAATGTTTACTGGAGTACAAACAGGAAATGGATCTTCTTATGCAAGAAAAAATGGCACATGTCGAAGAATTAAGACAAATACATGCAGATATAAACGCGGTATAATTAAATATAAACCTAATATCTTTGTTCTAGATTATAGGTGTAACTGTTTATGTAACTGTGATAGATGGAGACTGTCATTAAACAAGCAGAAGAAGCCAGAAACAAAGCAAGAGAGACTGCAAAATTAATCCATAATAATGATTATCAACCTCTAAAACACGATATTGATCGCATGCGTAGGGAATTTTTAGGATTGGAAAGATTACCAGAATTATATGAAACGGAATCTGATCTCATTTCACCAGAGTAAGTTGAAATATGACTGTCTCGAATTAGATTATTATTAATAAAGATTTTTTGTTTATAGCTACTTTGATCGTCCAATGCAAAAAGCAGAATGGAGAGTTGAAGTAAGGGGAGAAGATTTATTACCCCCACTTACTCTACACCATCCTGGTCATCCAGGTGGTTCCACACCTTTCCTTGCTCCTCAACCTCTTCAAGGTCCAAGTAAGCCAGAACCAAGACCATTGCCACCAGCCCCTGGTCCACCTGCTCCAACATTCAGGTACCACTGGTATATCGCAATTTTATATTATATTTCTATACAATATATAAGTCATATTAGTCAATAAATCTGTTAAATCATACTTAATTTTATGAAAATGCTACTGATGACAGTATTAACAAAAAAAAACATTAATATTCTGTATATAGTAATATATTAGTTTTCATATTTTATATTTTTGCTTTTAGGCAACAACCACCCCCTATGAAATCATGTTTATCGTGTCATCAACAAATTCATAGAAATGCACCAATTTGCCCCCTTTGTAAAGCTAAATCTCGATCGCGTAATCCCAAGAAGCCAAAGAAAAAAGACTAATTGTAGTCATAAGTATTATTTATATGAAACACCAAGCATTTCTGCCACATAATTTTAAGGGTACGTGTTGTTTAAATAACTTAAAGTAGTTCGAATACTGTAAAAACATGCATTCGTGCAAATTATATAAAAGTGTTTGCAAAATGTATGTATTTATAGTAATGTTTTTAACTTTTCTTACAATTTTATCCTCGATTTTTATATACTTGTATCAACAGTTATAAGACAATTGAAATGTCACAATGGTTGATAATTAAATAATTTTTACTTTCAATGAGATGTACAAATAGATCTAAATAATTCTTATGATTTTAAATAAGTTTTTATATTAATTTTTATAAAATGAATTCAAATCTAATTTTTTTAAATACAAACAAATATAAAATATTACTTTAGGCGCACATTCTTTATTGCACACATTGTTTAATAATATAACTTTAACATTTTAGTAAAACGTATTTCACTAACTAAAATTATCCTACAAAAAATTATGATTCTTTTTTAATCCAACTGTTTTCAATATTTACGATACTCATTATTCGTTTATTCGAATATGTAAAACATCATTCAGTTATTTGTGATAAGTACTTACAAATTCAGATTATTCTGTGAAAGACATTTACAATTATCAAATTTAACTACATCCTTATTTTGATATAAATTGAACTAAATATCAGTCTTTTTTTCTATTATGACAATATTGTACTATATATCATTTTCATTTTGTAATCTTACTTTCTCTACAAGATTCAAATATTAAAAAAATTCATGACTTACATTCTTTTGAAAATTATATTCTTACAATTCTAATTATATTCTTGCATTGTTTTATATATATTTATTTATAATCTACATTTATATATGTAAAATATGTATTAAAAATCTGTAAATATCCATAAAAAATATATCTGCATTTCGTAATATCAAGATTGCATTTATACCCAACTTTTAATGGCAGTTGCATGTAATCTATATACTTTCGTAAAAAATAAAATCGAATTTTGAGTATAATATTTGTTACACTTTGTCATATCTCTCACATTTATTGTTTTCTTGTGCATCATTTGATCCTTGAGCATCGTTAGATTTAAGATGAACTAATGGAATTTCCGCATCTTTTGATAGAATTGCTTTTGGCGGAACTAGTCGTTCGTTGACGATTTGTAACCATATCATACATACTATTAATGTTAAACCAGTAATACCAAACGTATGATATGTTCCAAAACGATTATAAACTACACTAACAAATATTGGACCTAACACACGAGAAGCACATCCAGCACCTGTCATAAAACCCATCCAAACTCCTTGTGGACGAGGTCCTAATACTTTACTAAAGATAGTTTGTATTAAAGTAACACCTAACGGATATCCTATAGTGGTAAATCCATATCCAATGAAAAACTGTGTAACGGTAAGTTGTGGTGTATAAGTACACCATTCTTGATTACGTGGACATCCTACAATGTCTGTGCCATTCGCATCTTTTGTAATGTTGTTAAATGCTGTAAAATAAAATAATTTTAATATCTCTAAATTTAAATAGCAATAGCAATCTAAATAGTATATTATATTTATTTCTATATTTACGTCCATAATCAGCAATTTTCGGTGGATCTGGTCCCCAAGGAATATATAAAATCCTCCCTATTACCATAAATAAAAATCCACCCCATAACATTACCTTACGTTCATTAAATCTAAAAGTATTTAAGACGTAAATAATGAGTCACTTTTTTGTAATGTATCTCTATAAAAAGTTTGCACCTTTTACATAAGGGTTCAATCATAACAAATGTAATGCATGACATAATTGCTCCAATGCTCATCAATAAACCCATATAATACAAAGCTTCCGTTTTCGACCACGCAAATTGATCCATAGTTAGAGAAGTACCAAGTCTATAAATGAAAGGATGTAAAATATGACACAAAAATGATTTTACATTTTGAAATGATACTAACGTTTCAAGAAGAACAAAATTAAATACTAAAACAAAAAAGGCACATATTAATGTTAAAGCCGCGATATTGTCTGGTTTTATAGCCTTCAGTGTTTCCTCCTCTGTAATTAATAGATAAACTTTTCAATTAAATATTAACATATCTAATTAATTTTATCATTAGTTAATTTAAAAACGTTTACCAGTTTGTTTCCCTTCATTTCTCATTGCTTCACGAATAGCAATTCTATGTTCCGTAAAATTCCATGGAAGGAATAAAACAAAATTAAGAATTCCCATTATAACATTTATCCAACCTGTCATAGTGTACATATTAACAGGTACACTTATGAAATATATCCCTGTTTCTCCAAGAGGTGTAACAGCAGCTTGCAAACCAGGTCCTACCACAAATCCTAGTACCTAATACATTTTAAAATAAACTATATACAATTTGACACTTATAAGAAAATGTTAAATTAAATTACCTGAGCTAGAGATACCATAGAAACAGCATGTGTTCTTTCTACAAATTTTGTAGCTGCTGAGAGATAAGACCGGGCTACCGCAATGTTAGCTAAAAGCATAATATTAATATAAATATAGAATATAAATAAAATGAATATCAAAATTTTTATTTTAACTCGTGATATCAAAATCAAATAAAATGCTAACCAGAACTAACTCCAACCAAGAATCTAGCAACTATCATATACATTTTTCGATCACCTGGTACAATTTCAAGGACACTATATAATCCTGACGCAAATGTAAATAAAAGTAATGTTGATAAAAGTGGAAGTCTTATAGAACCTCTCCTATCTCCCCACCAGCCTACTAAAGGAGAAAATAACATTTGTCCCAAAGGGTTCGCTGCAACTACATATCCCATGAATTCTTTACCAGCATTTTTGTCCAACTGCAACATCAGTGCATAATAATATTATATAGGATGGTCCATTTAAGTGAAACCACCTAAATATCTTTTCAAAATGTGATGATGCGAAAAATATTTTTCGCCTAACATCGATAATATCAAAAGGTATAACTGGTAAGGATATTTTTTTCCAGTCATTTTTTTTCTAGAATTTCCAAGGTCACTCACATTTAAATTGCCTTACTTAGATTCACACATAGATTTTCATTAACTTTAGCTGCAATATGTCCTTTATTTCTTTTGTTATTAACAATTTAAGTCCTCACACGTTTTTTCACAACACTGCCAGTTTGAGAAAAATTTTTAACCACTTTTACATATGTATTTCGTGATGGATAATTGCGATTTGTACCTTTGTACACTCGAATTGCTTTTCTCAAATATTGGTCACTTTTACAATAAAGGAATATTATATCAATTTTTCTTGCATTGAGTGAATTATTAACAAACTTCAATACACTGATTGGAATTTCAGGAAGAAATTATCAGTGACTATGTAAAAAGTGATAAACATCTTTATTTATTACGAGTTCTCGATTATTGCTTCCTAGCCAAAGTCTATGATCTTGATAGAAATAAATAATGTTAAATTTTCAATGTTTTTTACATATCTGAACGCATTTCTTTTACCAACTACATAATAAAATTAAAAAATATATATGTATATAGTTGTATGAAAAAAAAACATCAATCTTGAAAACTATGAAAGAGAGTGACCTTGGAAAAAAAATTCTTATCAGGTATCTTTTGATACCATTCATATTAAGCGAAAAATATCTTCTGTATTATCACAATTCGAAAAGATTTTTCGTATTTAGATGACCTTACTTAAATGGACCTGTAACTTGGATAATGGACAATATAATGGACTATATATTAATTTGTCTTTTTATTATACATTTCTCTATTATATTTACCTTATCAAGATATGGCCACACTCCTGTGAGTATAATACTAAATCCAAGAGACATGAGAAACATGGTAAAATAAATTGCATAAATACTTCTCCATCGTTCTTTTCTTGCAGCAACAGTTTCCAATTCATCATCCACAGAAATAGTATTTCTATCAAAATAAAATGTTAGTATATCAATATATCAAAATAATTAAATATTCAAAAATTGTAATATATTTTTGTGAAACTACCTTTTTTGAAGTAATTTTCTACACCAATCCATTAAAAATATCATATAATATTTACTTAAAACAAAGAAGCACACCTTATGTACTATAAATCTTTTTACAATTTAATAGAAAGACAAACTTCAATCCCTCACAACTTTTTTAATGTTCCGATGTTACAAATCTACAAAATAATAATATATAATTTTAAATATACATTTTATTCCTAAATTAATATATATGTATTTGTCAATATTGTTAAATTTTTATTTAAAAAAAAGTACTGATTAAAATATTGTAATGTTTTTTTTAAACATTTGAATTTTGTGGAAGTAGTATTTAAAAAATTGTTATGGATACAAAGTATTATGAAAAATATATATTCTGAAAACTAAAAAAGATATAAGATAATACTCACTCTCTTTAATAATTAAAGTATTAAAATATTGTTTTATCGGCGTTTTATCACCATATTTTATACGTCAGAGATAAAAATTCTGGAATGCAGTACTTTGTACTTGCTAATTCCTTTTAAAAATTTGCATGTTCACATGTCACTTGAGAATGTCACAACCAGACTAAATTCATCGCCGTCGGTTGAGTTAAAAAAAAGACTGAACCCTGCGTCACCGCAAGTGTTTGCTGAATTTATTCATGTCAAGCATTCATAATCACGCTTACAATATATCGTAACAAGCGTAATGAAATGGAGATGAATACTCAATTGATTGACTTTGTATTGTGAACTATGTGCATTTCACTTCCTTACATATATGAATATTAATCATTCTTTAAGATTACTTTCTTAACTATCAATCTTTGTTTCAATTCGACGCGTATATTTCTGAATGAATAGCTAACTCGTGACATGTCTCTTTTCTTTGTTCAATTACATTTAATAATATGATATACCAAAGACAGAAAAAAAATGTGTCTTACACCTGATGAAACAACTGATTATCTCTATTTAATGTATTATTCTATGTGCATATTTTACATCTTATAAATATATATGTGTGTGTGTGTGTGTGTGTGTGTATGTGTATTACGATCCTCACACAATATTGTATATAAAATAATATATATGATATAGTATAGTATATCCAGAAATTTTATCGTTTCATGGTAGAAAAGCTGATTGTAAACTAAATATTATGAAGAAACTTCTATTGTGAATTTATTATATATGTTACGAATTTTTTGTAACAAATATTTTCTTAAATTATATTTCTAAATATCTAGGTTATTTAAAGAAAAGATAGTTCATTCTTATTCTTCTTTTGTTTTTTCAAATATCTCAAATATCAAATTTAATTGCACACTTGAAAGATTCTCATTAGAACTTGTTATTAAAATAAATTTTAAATAAAAGTAACATTTAATTTAAAAATTTTGAATATTATTTACTTAATATTTGTTTGGATCAACTATAAAAGGTTAACTTTATTTCAATGTATTGAATATTAAACATTAGTTTATTTTAAAAGTCAAATTGATAAAATTATGTAAAAATTATGTAAAAATGTAATAAAAAAAGTATTAACGTTTTGATGGAGAAATTATATATATTGCATACTTAAATACTTTATTATACAATAAATGGTTACAAGTTATGAAAATATTTATAGAAATTTATTTGTAGATTCAATTATCATGGATAAGGTCTATAGCGGTGATGAGAATATCTATCAAAATGTCGACGTCTGTCATTCCTATCATTATTATATCTTCCATTCATAGAGTGCCATGGGTCAATGATAGGTGGTTTTTTTAATTCCATATTTTTAATTTTCATAAATTCTGCTTCTTTCTCAGTATATCGATCTTTAAATTCATTTTCACATTCCTCTAAAAATTTCTTTTGTTCATCAGTCAAATTTTTTTCTCCCATATTTATATTTCCTTTCTTTATATTTATAATATAATCTTGCTAATAATAGTAAACAGCTGTAAAATCATTGCACAATTTTAAAATCCATTATATGAAAAATATGCTATTTTTAAAATAAAAACAATGTAACTTTTTATTTAAAGCTTTCTATTTTCAATGTTGTTATTGCTTATTACTTCACATGCAACTTTTTGTTTTGTCTATGCAACAAGAATACTAATGTATTTTTCAATATATTTTAGAAATTTTTTTATATTATACAATCCCTATATATTTATTACCTCTATCTTGATTCTTTAATTTAAGATTCTTATTCACTGACAATTTTTATATTTGTTGAATATAAACTCGTCCTTTCACACAGAATAGCTCCGAAATTTAGCTTCCTAGGTTATATTTATGTTTGTAAGGAAAGATTAAAATTTTATATAAATCACATTATTTACGAAATATAATGTTTCTATAAACAACATTTACATTTTTTAGAGAATATCATTATTTTTTAAATCTGAACATGTTTACTATTTTTATGTATAGAATATATTCAGTTGTGCAATCATACTTCGAAATACAATACGACTTTCAAAGGATGATACTTAAATTAATAATTTGTTTGAACTAAAAATAATCAAACATAAATAATTAAACATATAAAATAAATTTATAAATTGTAGAAATGAATAATAAATGAATAATAAAACAAATGAAAACAGATCATTTTTATATATTAATGTGGTATCAAGCATGGCATTTTCATGTAAACTAGGTTTGAAAGATTTTGGCGGTACAACCGTCAGCATCATGTTCTTATCATTATGTACATATATGCTATTCAGCTGAAATTTGTAGTATATTATTAATTGAAAATACGAAAAACATGTTCATTTATAATTATTTTTAAAGCTACAAATACATTCCTAGTATATTTATTTCGACATAAATATAACAAGAAATTGATATTTTTACGAAAATTTTGTATCTACTATCATACAATATGATATCTACTATCATACCAAAGGCGGAAAACTACGATATAAAAAAACAAATACAAGATGAAAGTGATATAAAAGAACAGCAAATATCTTTAAATAATCGAGTTATTGAAAAAAACGGAACAGGTAAATGCAATTTAGTATTTAATATATATTTCATATATTTAATATATAGTTCACAATCTAAACAATATGAGTTAAATTTAATTTATATTTACCAGTAACCAGTAGTACTGTGATATTTAAAAAAAACAATAACGATACGAAGAAACTACGTAGTGGAAAATATATTAATACAGATCTTACGTCTGGTTTGAATAAAATTAATGGAGATTTAAGAATTGTTAAAAGAAAAATTAATGGGGCAGAAGAATTGGAAGCAAAATCTGCTAAGTTAACATTAAAAGAAACAATAATTTGTAATGATAATCCTGACTTAATATTAAATCAACAACAATCAGATTCAGGTGATGAATCTGAGAACATTCAAAAGAAAACTAAGACTGAAAATAATTGTACAACAAAAATGGAAGAATCCAAAATATTAACCAAGAAATCAGTTAATGTAAATCAAAAATGTGAATATTGTTGTCAAAAATTAATAAGCACAGACATAAAAATATATCCTGGTCACCCTAATGGTGCAGTAGAAGAAATGATTGCATTAACAGAACCTAGATTATCTTTATTCACAGGAGAAGAAGTTACGGTTCATGAAAGTGATGTAAGGCCACAAAATAAATTAACTCACTTCTGGTAAGCATTGCTCATAATAGAGAAAATATATAAATCTATCGTTTTCCGTCAAATTTAATTTTATGTATGTTGTTTCATCTTGTCTTTTTATAGTGTATATGATAAGAATGGGCATTTGTGCCCTTTTGATACTGGTTTAATTGAAAAAAATGTGGTCCTTTATTTTTCTGGTTACATGAAACCTATATATGAAGAAAATTCATGTCCAGAAGGAGGTGTGCCTACAAAAGACATGGGACCAATAAATGAATGGTGGGTGTCAGGATTTGATGGTGGTGAATTAGCACTTGTAGGATTTACCACAGCATTTGCAGAATACATATTGATGGAACCTGCTGAAGCATATGCTCCATTTATGGATTCTGTGAAAGAAAAGATTTACATGAGCAAAATAGTCATAGAATTCTTATTAGATGAAGTCAATCCTACATACGAAGATTTGTTAAATAAGCTACAGGTAACACAGGTTTTTGTCTAAGATTCACACTTTGAGTACTTCACATTGTAATGTACTAACGTTTATCAAAATACATTTTTCTAGACTATAGTTCCACCAAAAGGATTATCTAGATTTACAGAAGATTCTTTATTATTATATGCACAGTTCATCTGTGATCAAGTTATTTCTTTTGATGCATCAGCAGAATCAGAAGATTCTTTATTAATTACAAGTCCGTGCATGCGAGCGTTAGTAACACTTGCTGGTGTGACATTAAATAAAAGAATTGCATTACGCAGAACACAATCTAGAGATTCAAAAAATAAAAAGATTATCTGGACGAAAGCTACAACTACAAAATTAGTTAATAATATGTTTGAAACGTTTTTCTATGACCAAATAGCTAAAAATAATGACAAAGAAATATCGGTATGTAATAAATTCTTGTAATAAATAAT